CGATAAATATTTTCTTGTCGAATCTCATTAAAATAAGAAAAAGAATCGAGAATTGATTTTTTTAATTTTTAATTTTTTTATATATATGGAAAAACGTTCCATTCTACAAATCAGTAATTGAAAAAAAAAAAACTAAAAAAAGGAATTTTTAAACAAGACGTGAATTACCATTAAGCTGTTTATATGTTCTTAAATATTTGTATTTATGTAAGTTCTTACAAATTATGAGATTGAAATTTACAATTGACTGCGCAACACACTATTCAAATTCAAACATTTTCAAAACTGCAGCCGTGAGTCTTGTTAAATTCATTTTTTACATATGGAGCCAAGTGTTGTGTCCGGGTGCTTACCAAATTTGGTGATTATCAAATCTAATTCTATATATTGGCTGTACTATAAGCTAGTACAAAATTTGTGCAGAAAAAATACCAAGTGTCACGTTACACGCGCCAATTGCCCCACCGAAATATTGCTAAATAATCAACTAAATTGGTGTAAGCATAAATGGATGGATCATCGCAAGTTCTAGACACTGATTAGTTGAGAGGGACAGGGCATAGGACTATTCGTTGGGCGCTGGTGCCAACCAAATTTGGAATTATCTGCATATGATGCAAAGATCTGCACCATATATTTTTTTGACTTCTATTATTAAAAATTTTTTTGCATAAATTCATATCTGAAAGAATCATATCTGTTAAAACTTGGAATAACTAGGAAATAATCTTAAAACGATAGTTGATTTTATATGTATGGTGTAGATATAGTAGGTTTAGCAGATGGTGATCGTATCAATGGGAAAGAAAATAGATAATAAGGAATAAGCAAGCCTGTTTATGACAAAAATTTTCTTTTTGGAATTTAAAACATTGGCGTGGAAATGAAATCTGTAAATTCACGCACGTGAAAATTAAATTGGCCAATCAGAGGGAATTTCTATAATAAACTGTGTAAAAAGTCTTGACATTTTTATTATTATTACCTCTTACCTTCTGCAAATTGATAAAACTGTGATTGACGTTTAAAACTCAATATTAATAAAATCAAAACTTTACATTGCAACTTGCCCATCACTAGGTGAACGTAGATAGGAATTCCCACTCGTGCCCTAAATTTTTTCATTGCATCACATCCCGAGAGATCTACTTTTTTAAGAAACAGGACAACTAGATGATTTGAGCCTCAAAAATCGTTATTGACAATCTATGTATCTGTTGCATGTGAAACCAAAAGGAACCTTTCTTTAAAAGTTGGTCAATTGTTTTGCTCGATCATTAAATTGATCAATAAGAATGTAATGCTTCGTTTCAAAATCATCAGATTATCAATATTATAATTAAATATTTAATAAAATAGAATAGGAAATTAGGCGCATCTAAAGGCATCCAGTGCTGCATCATTTACCGGTTACTTTGGTTTATTATTAATTGAACCATCATGTGGTCCACATGTTATCAATCAATTAGAAAAAATTGGTACACAAAATTTACAAAATTTAAAATGCTAAGATTCGGCCAATTTTTAGTTTAAGAAAAGCTAGCCGATAAGTTTTGAAGTTTGAATAGTGAACTTTTTAAAATTTTGTTTTAACTGACCTGTTAAAGATCTACACCGTACTTTCCCCCAACATTATGTTAAAAATATATATAACCTTCCTTATCCACCTTATCTGTAAAACACCATATTATATATAGTTATCCCCTCCGGATACAATGGTTTAATTTAATAAATAAATAATCATGACAAAAGAATTCGCTTCTACTGCAGCAAATGCAGAATGTATTAATGTTAAAGGGGATAGATAACAAATTTGTCAATGTATGACAAACTAAAAAAAAATTAAAAGTCTTCAATAGACGTGTAAGTTCAGGAAAAAGTGCAAATGAAAAAATAAATTAATGCTTGGGTTTTAGAGCTAAGACCAAATGGAATTACAATTTCAATTAAACCACAAATATTATCTTTAGTTATTATATCGTAAAATCCTTTTATTTAATAAATTCTTTTAACTGCTGAAAGTTTAAAATGTGAGTTGTTTAATCACTGTACTCTTTATCATTAATAAAAATTTAAATTATTATTTATCAAAATCAATACCAAGAGTATTTGTTTAATGATCCCACGTACAAAATTTAACAAGTATTAAATACGATAACACAGCTTTATTTAATATTAATATTATGTCATCCTCTAAAATCTTTTTAATAATTTAAAAAAAAATTTAAAAAGGAATTTTGAATATTTGAGTTTAAATGTGTGGAACTCATATGATTCATATAGCAAATCTTAAAAAAATTTTTTTGCGCGGAATAATTTTCTTTGATATCATTTACATGTGTATAACGTTACACGCATTATTTAATGTGCGGAAGCCAAATTTTTAGAACGACATTCTACGCACGATAAGAATAAAAGACGAAAAACCTTATTATCAAGAAGATCCTTTATTAATGTAAACACAATAATAATAATAAATATCAATTTAGGAAACTTTCTGCAAGAATTGTATTGATAGATACACTATCCCGTTATCGTTGTTTTATGGATATTTATTATTTGATGTTGCAAAAGTTAAATTAATATCTCACTGCAAAAAAATTTGTTTAGATAAGTAGCAAATCTCTTTGATTGAAAAGGCTGCGGAGGATCAAATAACTAGTATCAGGAGAATATTTATTAAAAACATAAGTAAACAAGAAATTGGGCATTGAATCTGAATCTGAATCTGAATCTGAATTAGTGTTGGTTTCCAAAACTAGAGGGTTTCGCAACCATACGAAAATCAAAATGTTTCACCATAAGTAGAAACTAGTTTTGATTTTTGAATATTGGCTTTTGATTTAGTTTTGACATATAACTTTTAATTTTAGTTTTGACTTTCGTCTCTTCAAAATAGTTTTGACGACCAACACTAATCTGAATCTAATGAGATTCAATAAATAATAAATAAAACTAACATTTCACGAGCCTGATGTGTGGACTAAAACAACCGAATGTTGATCCTTTTAAATTAACTTCACTTGGTAGTTTGATAACCATAATTAATTTGTTCTTTGAATAATGATTGCATTCTTTGGATCACAAATGATTTTCTATCCTGAACATGGACTATTAGGCGTAGTGTCTTTAAATCCATAATTTTTGTGTAAGCAATAATAATATTAATTATTATGTAAATTAGTAGAAAAATGAAAGGATAAATTTACAATTATTATTATAAACGTCGTTTAAAAAAATTTGTTTATTCATTATCAAGATCAAAGTGGAAAAAAATTCATAAATCCAAATATGTTACTATGGCAAAAATGAAAAACTTCTGGAATGGGCGGCGAGTCCTTTTATTTTAAAAATTAATTTTATTATTAAGTAATCACAAATAGACAACTTTATTATTTTGCATTCTCAATTTATAAAGCCTCAATCTATATATCAATATTGTGTTCTTTAATCTTCCCAAGAATTATGAGCTTTTTATTTACTCTAATTAAAATATTCATTAAGGACATTATTAACATTGAGCAGTCAAAGGACTTTGAATTAATTATGCGCCATTTTATCTCAGTACAAATTTATTACGTGTATCATTTATATGTAGTCAAAGCTCGTTAAATTCATATTCGATAAATTCATAATCGCCTAAATTCATAATTTTTTCAGGAACCAAGGACGGTTATATTAAAATTCTATTCAATAATTCATAATCATAATAAAATCTCGATAATCGATAAAGTTTACTTTTATTATATGCCATCATATAAAAATCTCTCTTAAACCTACTGTATATCTTTGTAATCTTTAAAATATGGATATTACGTAAGTAGCAAATACAAATTTTTCCCCTGTTAACATTAACTATAGCAAAAAAAAAAGGATTCGAGCTTTCAAATTAAGCGTAGAAATACAGTTGATAATAAGATTCCAATTGACACAAAAAGAACAAAAACATTTAATTTCTGTTTAGAAACATGATTATGGGTAATTTAGTTACAAAATGAATAATGGTTTGTTTTAGTACTTATTATAAATAACTACAGTGAACTCATAAGTGCTCCTGCTATAAATGCACACGCCCCCTACTCTACACTGCGCGGTCTTTTCCCAGTCCCTTCATCATATAAAACCACCCTCTCTAAATATACGTCCGTGACTTTCACGTGATTAATGTGCAATTATTTCTTGCCATTTTTGAAGTTGTTTCCATATTTTAATCAGATTTGCAATTTTTTTCTTATTCTGGTAAATTTAGGGTCGTACGGCAAAGGCTTCATTTCTTATAAACTTGTAGAGAGAAGAGAGTGAGAGGGAGGGGGAGTAGTTTATCAACACAAAGAAATCGAAAATTTGCCGTGTCACGACCTCCTTCTAAAATTCGTAGTTTATAGTTTTCGTACAGGTTTATTGCTCATTGCCTCTTCTTATGTTTAGTTTTTGGCGCGATTTACTCTTTCACCAATTTTGTGTCTTGCGGCGAATATTTGATTTCTTAAATAATTTTAAGCGAGCGAGAAGCAAAGTAAAGTAAAAGGAGAGAGCATGCAAATTTCTGTTTTTCAAACTTAATTTTTTGGAAAAGAATTTTTTGTTTTCGTTGGGTAGCAAATTCCAAAAAAAAAATTCCGGAATCCATCCATTTGATGAACCTTTTTTCCACGTGATAAACGTTTATCGCGCAATAATAAAATCTTTTCAGGGTTTGGTTATTGTGATAAAGATCATTATTGATTGATTATGTCCTTTAATTATTTATATAAAAAAATTAGAAAATTTGTAGAGGAACCTCATAAAGATGTTCATTTTTCAAATCCTAATTCAAATGAAATGGAAATTAATTAAAAATTTTTGTAAGATTATCATTTCTTTTTTGTGAGTATGCAATTTTTCACGTTTTGGTAAACGTTTAATTATTGGCATCGACATTTTGATAAATTATATTATGAACCACACATTTTGTTGAACAGAATTATTGTCACCGACGTCTTGAAAAATTTCTCAGGGTTTTAATGAATAGGATAATTATGAAACATGTTTTGATGAGCGTAATTATTATTACTGACATTATGATAAATAACTTCAGGATTCTGATAAATTATATTATGAACCATGTTTTGGCGAACGGAATTATTATTACCGATATTTTGATAAATTTCTCCAAGGTTTTGATGAATCATGTTTTGCTGAGCATAATTATTGTTGCCGACATTTTGATAATTGTATTATTAAGAGCTGAGTATTTATTGGTGATACTCCCATTCGAATTAAAACCGTTATCCCAGTCATTAGTATTATTTAATTTTTATTACATATTTATTCATTATAATTATAATGCTTTTGCCTGTTTGAGCGATTATTTTTTATACGGTATGTTTAGTATTAAAGAAAATAAAATAGAAAATTTTATTTAATTTTATGATTATCTTAAAATTTATCACCTCCCTCTCAAAAAACAATAACATTTAAAAAATAAAATATGGTATTTCCGTATGGTTTATACAAACATATTAATATTAATATAAAATAAAATACGGAACTTCAGTATTTCATGTAAGTTCTAAAAAATTTCCATTTTTAAAACTGTAATAAGTAATAGTGATGAAAATACGGAATAAATACGAATTAATACGGAATTTTTAAGATACTGGAAAGGTACTTTTTGTTCCGTATTTAAAGTACGGAATCTATGACATACCAAAAAGGTACTTTTGTTCCGTATTTAAAGTACATAATAGTATCATAATGAAAGATGTCATATACATTTATTCATATAGTAAATATTTTATTATAAATCTATATCATCATCATCAATAATAGTTAATTGCTGTTTCTCCACCCTATGAAAATAAAATATGGAATCGTGTGTTAAATACGCTCTTAAAAATATATATACTAATACGGAATTAACATATTTCCTATACGGTTTTGAAAAATCACCTCTTTATCTTTTCAAATTTAGTGTGAATTGGTACGGAATTTGTAACATACTGAGAAGGTACGTTTTGATTCCGTATATAAGTATAAGGTACTGGTACGGAATAGGCACAAAATTTATAACATATTAATACTCATTGTATAAGGTATAATATCATATAAAGAATACATTTACTTTATTCATTATAAAACATATAGTATTTCGTCAACAATGTAATTAATTTCATTTTTATTTTTGTTATCTCAAAATTTGTCAATTATTGCAAGAGTACTCGAACATTTATTATTATTATACGTGTTGTTTATTATTATTATTATAATTATCTAAAATTCCGCATTTTCCATACTAATTATAATACTAATACTAATACTAATACTATACTGTTTATTCCGCATTTTATCTTTTATGTATAGTAATATGGAGTCAAGTGATTGTCAGTATAAACAAACAAACACACCCTAAATTGTAACTGAATAGGTAAATCAATTCATGTTATAAATAATGTCCGATTTTTCTCTCGATTGAGATAAAAATATGAAAAAGAAAATAAAAAAATTAATATTTATAAATACAAAATTTCCGTTTTCGCTCATTTTAACCAATAAATCATGGTACAAGATATCACAAGATACCAAAACAAGAGCAAGTTGGATCATTAAGAACCATGGAAAAGCACATTCGTTTGATCTCCTGATAAGAGATCATGTGGTTTTGTCTAGATATCTTGTGCAACGATTATTATTACAATTCGGGAAAAGTGATGATAGTTTAATTAAACTAAAAATACAAAATGATGTCAACTTCAACAATGACAACAACAACCATATTAATAATGACATGGATCAAGGAATATCTAAAGCTTCTCAAAAATATTATAGAAATCCTTGGGCCTCAAATATTCCAGTAGCAGTGTTTGTAGCTTTGTTAAAAGAAGCCAAATTACAATATGGTGAAAGTCTTCCCTTAAAAGGTAATGACATTGAAATGTTTCATTTCTTAACAGGGGGCCCTCTGGCTATAGACTTGGCTCCAAAAAGGTTGATGGAAAACCTGGAAAAAATAAAGGATCTTATATTAAATAAAAAATTCATACCTTTTCCCCCAAGACCAGCAATCCCATTTGAAGACTCAATTGATTACCAAATAAGAAATGCAAATACTTAATCATAAAGAGTATCCAGCCAAGGACGGATTTGAAAATAACAAGCAATTGAACATAATTGCAAGAGCAATATTAATCTATCCTGATCTAGTAGAATTCTGGAAGCAAATTGGCTATCATGATATATGTAAAGATGTCAATAATTTGGTTTTACAGGGTTCTTTGTTAATTTGTTTTACCCAAATTATAAAAATGAAGAAGCTTGTGATTATCCAATTACAATAGACTTTGTCAAATGTTTACAACAATTAGTAAAAGTTGGATTCAAATTGACAAAATCTGCCATGACTGATATTCTAATTTTATATGAGCAACATATTGATAAAATTGGAATGGCACTTTTAGAAGCTTCTTAAAATCAATCAAAATCTGATATTGTTGGATGTTGTGTTGTAGAAGCCATTAAAGTCAACAGAAATTTGAAAAAACCTCAAGTTTTAGATTTTCTAAGAATGCAAATTGAAGATAA